TCCACCATTGCAGGCTCTCAACACTAAACCGGAGCGTTCCGCGGTGGAATAGTGATTACAAGAACCGGCATTCGAACAGGTTGCGAGATGCCATCGAACTCCCATCGGACCCGGAAATCATCGTGAAGTATCTAGAATATCTACTTCAACCGACGGTGCGGGCCCGAGTCACTAGAGGGAATCAGCACGGGTTTCTCTTTTGCAAGCAAAACGGCGACGCGTTTGAGAATGCCGGCGAGTGGTCCATGTATATAGCGGGTATCATCGAGAGACATGCTGCTTTGACCAACATTTCCACCAACGCTTTGCGACACTCGTTCACCACGTACATGGAGTCGGTCGATGGTGAGGAGGACCACACGAGGCTTCGAGAGAGCACCGCATATGCGATGCGGCACACAGTGAGGTTTGTGAAGCTTGGCCATATTCATCTTCAGTCAGTGAAAAGGCCCAAAAGTGACAGACTCTTGCCTCTCCAGGATACAGCAACAAACGTACAACAATATCCCCCCAATCGAGAGGAAGAGGAAAGCGGTGGAGTTTGCGAGTCGAGCATTCAAGCGAGTGGTTTGTGGACAGGATGTCCAGGACGTTGCGGACGGCAGCAACGGATCCGCGCCCCCTCCAACAGGCTCATTGGTTGGCATAAGGCAACCGGATGGCAGTCCCAGCTTTGCCAAAGTCATCAGGATCGAGAGAGATGATGCCCTTTTGATGTTGCTGCGCAAGCAGGAAGATAGCATTGACGCGAGTCCAAACCATTATGTAGCGAATTTGGATAGCATGATGAGAAAGCACATCTCCCGGCGAGAAATTCTCTTCCCCGTCGACGGAGTCTATCATGTAGAGAAAGGGGTGTACGAGGTGATGACGAGCTTGGAGGATGTAGATAGGCTGCTTGATTGAAACAGAGGGATGCGAGTAGTTTGTTTGGACTAGATCACCGGCACCAGCCACAATTAACAAAGACTACGACGTGTAAGGGAACATTTCAGCCTTCACTTTCATGGTCAAACTTTATTTTTGTGATTCAAATGGTACGGCATTAATCTGCCGTCATATCGGTACAACCTATACCCTGCAGCATCAATCACATTGATCTTCGACCCGATGGAAAACTCCACACCGGCAAATATATCATGCGCAAACATTTTCCCTCGCCATATGAGAGAATGGATGGCGTACATCTACAAACAGCGGGCTCAATTGACGCCAGCTGGCGCGATGACAGTTCACTGGGCGCAAGGCACGCAGTCATCCGTGCAACAAAACTGCAGAACTAGGTGTGGATGGTGGATGGCTAGATTTCAACAAGGTCAGGAAACGTGCAACTACAGGGACCTCGTGGTATGGAGTTAAACAAGGTCACGGTGAGAGTATCCTATTGCAGTAGTCATTTTTTCTGTCGCCCTGATTGACGCTTATTTGATCGCTCCGCTGACTCAGCGGAGGTACGGGTCACCAACGGTAAGTCAGCGAGGTATGGGTCACCGACAATAAGTCAGCCCGACGTTCCCGTCGTAGAGGTATGGGTCACCGACAATAAGTCAGCGGAGGTACGGGTCACCAACGGTAAGTCAGCGGAGGTACTGGTCACCGACAGGAAGCCAGCGAGGTATGGGAAGTCAGCGAGGTATGGGTGGCCGACGATAACACTGCGGAGTGGTGGGAGGGATGGGCCCCAACGGACGGGAAGTCAATTTTAAGTGGTTTACAAGAAGGAAGGAGCTGTGACTGCGGACCAGGGATTACACGTGACGCGACATGCACTTTTTCAGTGTCGTCTCCTTCCCGTGCATAACGGTTTTCAAGAGGCCTTAAAACCAAAGAAAGAGAAACAAAAAGGCGTATTGCCTCCCAGACCGCTGCATGCACAGGCAAAGGAGGAAAACAAAAAGTTGCAGTACGCAGTGTTCCCGTGTGGTCCCCCACCACAGTACTGACTGCGAGCCACAGCCTGCATAAGATGCGCAGTGGTGCTGATTTCAGTGGCCTTGTACTCGAACGTAGAGCCGTGGCGTTTGATGTGAATCTTGATAACGTGGTGGGATTTCGATTGCTTTTTGATAGTTCCTGGCATTGTTGCAAGAATGGGGAAAGTTTGGGAAGAAAGTGAGAAAGTTAAAAAGTGTGGGAAAGGCTAAAAATGTGTGTCACGGGAACGTGGAAGGGTCCAATCGCGTGATCTGAGGGTATCCATTGGGAACGACAGTACTACAGTGTCCAAAGGGTATCCAGGAAACGTGGGTATCATTCGGAATTGCGCAATTTGACCAAAAAAGGTGAAAAAGGCAGACGAAAAACGGGTATAAAAGGCGGAAAACAAGCGTTCTATTATTTTCTCCGTATGTTGGACTAACTCACAGACCCATTTTTCGAGGACGTACAAAAGTAGAAAAGAGAAATATGCTCCGGGGTTGAACCCTGGGTTTCTCGCATGTTCCGGACGAAAATCCCTGCGAAGCGAGCACTCTACCACTGAGTTATTACCCTGTTTGTATAGCAAATGGTTTGACTTGACCTGCCTGTTATACCGATACTTCTTTTTGTGGATACCGTCAAGGTTTTTCATTATTTTGCGGCGACGTTATGGGAACCCTGGACTGGAAAGTGGTGGGAACTCAAAATGTCGTCGGTTTTGGTGTAGCTCGGGCTGCTGCAGGCGTCTTGACGGACTGTTCTGACGCCAAGGTTTTCGGGCACGAGCAAGTCAGGGGTGCGTGGATACCGTCCCGCCTTTTCTTTACAGTTGACGATGTTCTCAAAGTTGCAGCAGCAGCACTCTCTGGGTTTTAAAGGAAATCATGGAGCAACAGCGAATGCCACCGTTTTTTGAAGTCTATTTGTGCTGCTTGGGTTGAGCGAGAAGTGATTATGGGTCATCGTGCCACAGCAAAGAAACCAAAGGCATGGGATGGGGGGAAGTATGGTACAGGAAGCCAAGAAAAGAAAAGAAAGAAAACTAATGAGGTGGCGAACGGAAATACTCTCAACTCCACATTTTGGTGAAAATCGGAGGTCGTCTCCCGGCCTTGTTTGTGTCGGAAGTGTCTGATTCAGTGTGGTGTGGAATTCCGATTAGTTTGCATGGGCGGACTGATGTGAAATCGGCAAAGTCAGTTACCAAACTAAAGCCGGTAATGTACTGTTTTTCATTTGGATCTATCGTTGCGCTTATCTAGGTATCTGTATCCTGCTTTCTGTCTTCCTGTGTGCTTCTCCCACCCCGACCGCCACTGTTCGACACGTCGCTTGTGCCCGCAGCGCTCACAGCAGCACCCTCCTCCAAACACCTCCCCGGGCAAAACCCTTCCTGTCCCGTTCCTTGATTTACACCCCTTACCCACCCGTCCGGAAATCTATCCCTGTTTTGCGGACACGGAGAGTCAGCCACTGTAACATCCGTTACAAAAACAAAAATTGCCAGGGGAGTGTGTACAAACTTACTTGACTAGAACGATATCACCGACGTTCACGTCGATTTCGTCACTGTTGGTGGGTGTGAAGGGGATGTGGCATGTGCAGATGGTGTGGGCGGTGGTGTAGGGTGGTGGGATATCGGTTCTGAGGTGGCGAGGTAGGGATTGATGTACCACCACGGTATCTGGCGGGAAGGATGTGGGAGGGTTGCCGGGAGGTGAGTCAAAGGAAAGGGAAGAAGAAGGAACGGGTGAAGCGGGGATGTGAATTGAGACGTGGGTGTCAGGATTCGCATCAGAACGACGGTGAAAAGTTTTCCGTTTCTTGTAAAAGAGGACGGAGGCGAGGAGGAGGAGGGCTACCACCACGAGTGTTCCAACAACACCGCCAGCGATCGGGCCTGCCTGTGTGCCCGTCACTTCCTCCGACGAAGATGCCGGCGGACCGGTCGACGGAACAGGCGTCGGCGTCGGCGGAGCCGTTACATTCGTAGGATCAAACACCCGTAAGTTCAACACATTCACCGCCATAACGGCCGGCACCTCCCTATCCGAAGCCGGCAACCCGGAAACGTACAGTATCGACCCGATGGAGGTGCAGGATACGGCGGTGCGCCCAAAGGGGGTGATTTGATTGCGGTTGTACCATGAGTTGGTTTCCGGGACGTATTCCCAGAGGTCGGCAGGGAAGGAGAGTGTGGAGGGACTACCGTTAGGTACGAATTGGCCGCCGTACAGAAAGATGCGGTTGGCGACTGCGGGGAATGGTGAGTGAAGACTGCGTGATGATTGGAAGAGAATGGTGTTGAAGAATGTAGCATACCGTTGGCAAAACAGGCTCGTTCGCGGCCATCTGGTACCGGTCCGAGACTGGGTGCGATCTCCTCCCAGGTGTTGTTGCGGAAACGGTATCGGAAGACGCTATGGAGGAATCCGGTCGAGCCGGTTCCCAGGTCACCGAAACCACTGAATACAAGGGCTGTGCAGGGATTGGCATTGCGTTCGAAACACGGAAATGTACAGAGGAGATTGTTCAAAAGACGATGTGTACGCACCTTCGGAGTTTATAGTCGACGGAGCGAACCCGGCATTGTTGATATTAGTAGGAAGGTCCGCCAGCTTGCTCCACGTCCCATTTGCCGCGGAAAACCGCAATGTTTGGTTACTGAATCCATTGGGCGTAACTCCGCCCACAATGTACATATTTTGGTCGCGAGCATACGATGCAGTTGCAAAACGGAGGGTAGGGGCGCTTGGAGACCGTAACCGTTCCCACACTGACGAAAGTAGGTTGAACTTCAGGAACCCCGCATCGGGCCCAAATACATAGAGGGTATCGTTATATTGAAAAGCATTAGAAAAGCCAGTATTAACTGGAAAGTCACCGACGGCGTTTCCACCAGGTGACAGCTGTTTCCATGCTCCTGTTGTCGTGTTGAGGAGCCAGAGTTCGGCGTCGGTGTTGAGGGGTGCGGCTGCCGAGGTACGCGTCGCTCCGCCGAACATTAGGATGGCGTCTCTCCACGGCACGAGAGAGGCTCCCGCTCGAGGACGTGGAGGTGGGGGTTGCATTCTTTCACAACATTGATGGGTGGGTGAGGAAATGCAACGAAAGAAAGGAAGAGACTGTTAAGGACGGGGCGAGGATTTGCCCTCGCGACATTTGGATATCCATCAACCCGATAAGCTTGTATCCGCGAGCCATTCTAGGCGCCAGTTACTGTACAGAGCAGAGGCACTTCAATATCTCCGTGTCTATTGATTATATTCAACAATAGTACTTACCCAACAATGGTACTTACCTATTCAACAATGACACGCAGGGAAATTACCGTATCAGAGCGCAATTAGACCACCTACAGTAATATTGTACCGGTAACTTTGTGTGACATGGGGCGCTCCACAAGCAACAAGGGAGAGGAGAAGGTGGCCCTTGTTACCCTGTTTCTAGAACTACAAGGAACAAGAAATACCTACAAGAACATGCGCATCCATGGGGATGCTTCTTGAGAATTCTCCTCGACCTAATACTCCCAACGGAAAACCAACAATGCGTCGCGCTCTCCCAATAATAATAATCCTAGTAACCCTTCTCCTATTCGTCTTCCTCCTCCTCCCAACTTCACCCTTAGAAAACCAAGCAGCTCCCCTGTCCACCACCACAGCAGGAGAAGGACAACTTTGGCACCAGTCTTTCCGACCCAGCAAGGAACCTCTTCCAATACATGGCTGCCAAGTTTCGACATACTGGCCACCGACGCTTCTGTCGCCGGTTGCTCCCAAACCTTTGACAAAGTGCATGCGGTCCATTGTGATTGACGCACCCGTGGGGCAACCGCATTCGTTTGGGGCGGTAAGCACTAGCATTTCAGTCGAGTTGGTTCGGTTGGGGTTCAAGGTGCGGACTATAAGTATGGTCATTTTGTTTTGACTTTCCCAAACAATAACCCATTCCGAGACAGGTGTATCTATCTCCCTGGCCAACAGACTACACTCTCCGCTTTCCACCAGAGCTCGAAGATGCTCCCCGTCTCCCCGAGGGCCAACGAGTCGACGTTGCACTCCGCGTGAGTCACCCCGACAGCTTCTTCATCCAAGACAACAAAGCGGACGTCACCTACGGTTTGACCGCCTGGGAGACCGCGGTCCTCCCCGCCGACTTCAAGGGCCCACCCTCAGGCGTCAACGGCGTGCACCACCTCTTTGTCCCATCCCGCTTCAATTTCGGCATTTACGCCGCCACGAAATGGATGGACATCGACAAACTTCACCTGTTCCCTCACGGATACGACCCTAGTTCCTTTAAATGGGTGGACAGACGTGGGCGGATTGGGTCCCGCACGTTCGAGTTTCTATGGCTTGCAACGTGGACGCCGCGAAAACGGCCCGATATCGCCATGAAAGCCTTCCACGAGGCATTTCCAAAGGGGTCGTACGTGGTCGATGGCATCACCATCGACGTTCGGTTGAAAATGGCGGGGACGCCGCCGTATGATGCAACCCCAGCGGAAGACCTTGCTAAAAAACCAGGCATTCAGGTACTCCCCACCACAGAACGTACCGTAGAGGATCTGGCGAAAGTATACGGGGAGGCGGACGCGTTTGTGTTTCCGACCATGGCGGAGGGGTTTGGGATGACCGTGTTGGAGGCTATGGCCACAGGGTTGCCGGCGCTGGTGACGGATCATTCCGGAGTGCAGGACTTTTGCGACCCGGATGTGTGCATTTTGGTGCCGCCCGCGCGGTTGATGCCGATTGCTGGCCTGGGTGAGTTTCCTCCATCTTTTCTTGCTCACCTTCCTGTTCCGTTACTCATCCAGTGTTATTCCAGGAGACGGGTGCGCAGCACAAGTGTCTACCACAACCCTCGCAAGTATTATGCGCGGCACAGTTGCTAACCGACTCGACTCGATCGAGCTGGGTCGCCGCGCTTCCGAGCGCGTCAAGCAAAAGTGGACGTGGAAACACCAGGTGGAACAGTGGGCGAATGACTTTATGTGTCCGTTGCAGGAAGGGAGGGTTCCGCCATAAACTGCTGTATTTATTATAGATGATACCCTTTCGTCAATGTAACTTAATTACATGGTTTTCTGGTGCACAAGATGATGGACGTGGCTGATGCCGTAGTTCGACGTTGGTTTGGTGTTTCAAACCTCCCCTCACTGAGGCTCCTTTGCTCCATCTTGTTTTTTTGCTGTATCACACGAACCGGTCTTATGACAACCTGCCAGTATACAACCATGGAACTATTTGTGGTGGATACTGATGCCGGACGTTTAAGAAAGAATGTGACTTTGCGAACCACCGGCCTTGCTCCCACGCGCTGCGTTATTTTACGGAAGAATCCAAGATTAGGTATTGTTTTTTCCAGATTGTGGACGAGAGGTTAAATGACACTTACGGCAGCCCACTCCTTCAGGTTAAATGACACTTACGGCAGCCACACCTTCATGGAAAAGACACTCCATGCCCATCCCTCCAATGTACCACTTGGCATTCTCTTGCTGGTAATACCCAAACTGACATGGTTCACGATATTTCAAAACTGATGGTGATTGATTCAGACCACATATC